TTTAAATAAAAAATTACGTTAACTTTAAATTACAATAACAAGTGTAATTAAATACTAATAATCAATAAATATAACTTACTAACTATTATATTATTAATTATATTTAAATAAAAAATTTAGTTAATATTAAAATTATAGTAACAAGTAATAATTAAATACTAATAATTAATAAAAATAACTTACATGCTAATAAAATTTATTTTTTTAAATAAAATATTTATTTAACTTTAAATTATATTGACAAAATAATTAAATACTGATAATCAATAAAATAACTTACAAGCTAAAAAAATTTATATATTTAAATAAAAATTTGATTAATCTTAAATTACAATAAGAAATATAATTTAATACTAATGATCAATAAAAATAACTTACTATTTATTATATTATTAATTATTTTTTAAATAAAAATTTAATTGGTTTTAAATTACTATAACAAATATAATTAAATATTGATAATCAATAAATATAATTTATCATCTATTATATTATAAATTATTTTTTTAAATAAAACTTTAAATTATAATAACAAGTATAATTAAATACTGATAATCAATAAAAATAACTTACATGCTAATAAAATTTAGTTAATATTAAATTATAGTAACAAATATAATTAAATACTGATAATCAATAAAAATAACTTACTATATATTATATTATTAATTATTTTTTAAATAAGAAATATAGTTAATTTTTATTATTATAATAAATATTATTAAATAATAATAATTAATAAAAATAAATTATGATCTAATAAAATTTATTTTCTTAAATAAAAAAATTAATTGATTTTAAATTATAATAATAAGTATAATTAAATACTAATAATCAATAAAAATAACTTATATGCTAATAAAATTTGTTTTTATAAATAAAAAATTTAGTTAATTTTAAATTATAATAACAAGTATAATTAAATACTGATAATCAAATATTTTATTTCTTAATAAAATTTATTTTTTTTAAATAAAAAATTTAGTTGATTTTAAATTATAGTAACAATTATAATTAACTATTAATAATCAATAAAAATTACTTATTCACTAATAAAATTATTTTTTTAATAAAATATTTAGTTAATTTTAAATTATAATAACAAGTATAATTAAATATTAATAATAAATAAAAATAATCTACTATCTATTATATTATTAATTATTTTTTTAAATAAAAATTGACTTTCAATCTTATAATTAAATACTGATAATTAATAAAAATAACTTACTAATTATTATATTAATAATTATTTTTTAAATAAAAAATTTAGTTGACTTTAAATTACAGTAATAAGTATTATTAAATATTAATAATCAATAAAAATAACTTATTATCTATTATATTATTGGTTATTATTTATTTTTAAATATAATATTTAGTTAACTTTAAATTATAATGAAAAATATTAATATCTTACTTTCTGTAATATTATAAAAATATTAATATTTTTATTTAAATTATAATAAATATAATTAATTGAATTAATAAAATGATTTACTATCTAAATTATTAATAATTTATTTTTAAAATAATTTTTTTTTTTATAAATTATAATAAATATTAAATAAAATTATAAATTATCAACTAAAATATTATTAATTATCATTAAAAAATTTTATATGTAAAATAAATTAAATTAAAATATAAAAAATAAATAACTTACTCCCTATATTATTATTGATTATTAAATATTTAAATATTTTGAATAATTTAATTAAATTTAAATTATATAAATTTAAAATATAATAAAAATTAAATGGTTTACAATCTAAATATTATCATCATTAAATTTTTTATAAAAAATAAATTATTAAATAAATAATAGATAAATAAAGATTATTACTATTTAATTCTTTTAATATAGTAATATTTAAACTGATTCTATTATAATATATTAAATTTTGAAATTAATTAATATTATTTATAGCAAAATCTAATATTTAAACAATTTATAAATATTCTTTACCATTTAATATTTTTAATATTTGAATAATAATTAATAGAAAATTATATATTTTAATTAATTATATTTAATATTATATTTTTCTTCATTACTTGATACTAGTACTATATTTTAAGTTTATTAAAATTTATAATAAATAAAAATATAAATGACAAATTGTAATATTATGGTTATTATTATATTTACCATTATTACCCAAGGTTAATTTTACATTATTAACAAATACTTTTAGTATTAGTTAATTATTTATAGAAATTATTGTATTTACTTTCATCAATAAAAATTGATTATATAATTGAATTTGATAAAATTTAATTTTTAGTAAACAAAAAATGAGTATAATTAACGAATGAGAGTGTGATTAATAATACATATATTATTTTCTAATAATAAAGCTTTTTAACATCTAAAACTTGCTTTAATATAAATTCATGAAAAAGAAAAAAAATTTAGAATATAATCAAACTGTCAAATTAACTCATTTTAATTATATGAAGCTTAATATATTTTTAATCTTATTTCTTTTTTGATAAAATTATTGTTAATTTCTTTATTATATTTTTACTTTTATAATTATGATTAGACATTATTATAATAAAAAAATAAGTTTTTTTTTAAAAAAAAAAATAAATTATTTTAATCAAATTATCTTGTATAAAGATAACAGAATGGAATAGTAATATATATTATTAAGGTATGTAGATCTTATCGCAGTTTGTATGTGAGATATAGCACTTTAAAAATAATTATAATTTATTGGTAATTAATATAATAATAATAGTGATAATTTGAATTGAAAAAATTTTTGTTTTAATTAGAAATAATTTTTTTTTCTTTAAAAATAATTATCATCTCATTTTTAAAGATAAAAACTAGATTAGATTTGTGTGTGATGACTTCATTACTATTAGATATAGCTATTATACTACATTTTAATATTTAATTATAATATATTCTTCATTAAGTTATAAATAAAATGATTGATATTTAATTTATTAGAATGTTTAATTATTTGTTATTTGTAATAGTCTAGATAAAGGTAAAAGTTCAGATGCTTTTGCTCTGATCTCTTATATTCATTTATTATATATTTGTTAGTGGCGAATGCTTCTTTACTTAAAGACTTAATTTAATGCTATTCTAATTATTACATCTCCTTATATCATCATAATGGGCTAAAGAGTCCATCTGAAGTATCACGTCTACATTCACCTAAAATAATAAACAATAGAAATAATAATAATAAAAAAGAAAATTAGTAATCCCAATCAATTTAAAAAAGGATCAATCATTATGTATCTGACTGCATATACAATTTTTTTTATTCATTCCCTCCCTCATTTATTTTTTTTATTATTTTTAATTTTGTTTTACCTTTTAATTTATTAATTTTATTATTTTTTTAGTTTTATTATATATAATTTTTTTGTTCATCTCCTTCTGTTTTTAATTTTACTTGATTACGCTACTGTAACGAACTGAAGGTTATCACATCTAAAAGATAAAATCAGTTCTAACTAAAATCAAAAAAAGCCATTAAGTTTTGGTTAATAATTAATAAAAAAGTAAAATAATAAAAAAAGTTACCCATTTTATACGTTTCCATGATAAACCAAAGTGACAAATCTAACTGATCTAGCCTATAAAATCATAAATTAAAAAAAATAAAATAAAATTATTAATTAATAATTATAAATTATTAATTAAATAAAATAATCAATAATATTGAATAGACAATACATAAAATTAGAAAAAAATAACCATAACAAAAAATAATTTTATCATATAATCTGATTATACTATTATAAACAGATCCAAATATTTTTTTTAAAAAAAAATATTTAAACAACTTTTATTCAGTATTAGAATTAGTGTTAGTATTAGTGTTAGTATTAGTGTCAGTACTAATATTGATGTTAGTGTTATAGTTAGTGTTAGTGATAGTATTAGTGTTAGTATTATAGGGTATATAATAATGGTCAGTCATTAGCATTACACACTACATTTTTTTTTACTATAATATTGATCTTCCTTTATTATAGTATGTTAAAAAAATTGCCAGCTTGAAGTACAAATCTCTTGATAATAATTTATATAGATTTATTATTTTTATTTTTATTAAATAATAATTAAAATGATTTTTTGAATAATACTTTAGGAATTTATAAAGTAAATTTAGTATTAACATATTATTATACAACTCTATAAGATCATTATGTATATATTATACTAATATTTTATACAACATACTCAATATAGCATGCTAATAATTTTATTATATTATCATATTAAATATAAGTTTAAATACATACTTATAATTATACTAAATAAAATATAAATTATACTAATTTAATATTTAATTCAGAATTTATTAATACGCTGCTTTGAATTATTTTTGCAAATTAGTCTTAAAAAATTGTAAGTTGAATTGAATTTTTTGTAGAATTTTCAGAAGTTACAACTTCCTTTTTTTTTCAAATTTTTATACACTAAAAAAAAAATTAGTATAACAGTATTTAAAGTATACCTTGTGATACCCATTTAAATATATTATTATTAGAATTAACTGTTATTTTTTGAAGTATTAATATATAAAAGAAAAAATAAATATTATAACAACTTAAAATATAATAAAATAATAAAGTAAAAAAAATTGTATTATTACGTTTTTGATTTTTGCTACTTTCAGTTATTTTTTCAGCTAAATTTTCCATTATATGTAATTTATCTTTTTTATCTATTAATAAATATGGATGCAAACTTTTATCACTTCTATAACATGATTGTTTTTAAATATTAAGAGTAGATTCATCAAGACTTTCTAAAGCCTGTATCATAGTTTTTCTATCAGTATGAGGAACAATTTTTTCTATTTTTAATATTAAGATTCACATTGATACAAATAATTCTCATAAGTAATTTAAGATGATTAAAACTAATATGATGCCTTTTAAACTATACACTAGATGAAAAAGCTTATATTATAGATTAGTTAATTTTTTAAAAAAAAATTAAAACTTAATAATAAAAATCATTATTTATCATCTTTATCTTCCATTTCTTGTAAATAAAATTCTGGATCTGCATTTTTTGGATGTAATAAAATATATTTATTATAATATTGAATAAATTCTTCATTGTAAGGTATAAGTATTTTGTCTGCCTTTCCTCTATTTCTAAATGCACCTCTTTGATTAGTTTTACTGTGATAGATATATACTGTAAATCCACCATCTTCTCTTTTTTTAAAATCTTCCAAAAGAAGTGCAAAATGCTTTTTACCTCTAATACCTAATAAAAGTGCATTATAAAAGTAAATTTGATATAATAATCGTTCTGGTGTAGTACTATCCAAAATTTTATGATTAAAAATTGTTAAAATTTCATCTATAGATAATACATCAGCACCCTTTGCATCACTAAATCCTAAATCAGAAAGAAACTTCAATTTTCCATTAAGAACTTCCCAAAGTATTGAAAACGTTGCTTGATCATGAATGTTTATTTCAGATATTACAGAATGTTTAATAAGATGTCGATGTATAGCAGCAATTGCACAGCGAACAGAACTTGCAGAATATTGTTGTCCATTTTTTTGTTTCATTTCTGCAACATAAGTTGCAAGTTGATTATCAAGTTCTTGTATTGAATCTATTTGTTCAATTTTCTCTTCTGTAAACTTTTCCTTTCAAAATTCTTCCAGTCCATTGATCCAATTTTTGTAGCACTAGTTATACTTTTTACTTATCCAAATGATTTGAAAAATTCAACGCTATTGGACTCATTGATCTATTAAAAAAAAAGATATTTATAAAGATGTATTATTTAATAATTCATAAATACATTTCAACAATAAATAATTTTTATTTTTAATATTACATTTGACGTTTGTGCGCGCTTTTTACTTTCATTTGGCATTATTTAGGAGGTTAGAATCCTATTTTAGGAAAAAGAAAACTATATAAAAATAACGGCTTTCAACTTTTTTCTTAAGTAATTTTCTTCGAAAAAAAATGTGAAAAAAAAGAGGAACAATAGAAATTAAAGAAACGTGTGGCTTTTAAAGAAGTTTAATTTGATCACATGATAATCAGGTGATCCGAATAATAATATTGTTATTGTTCAGGCGCACTTAATAACATTCTGATGTGGCACGCAGTGCCACATCAGACCATTATTAAGCACGCCCGAACAATAACATACAATTACTAAATTTTGGATTTGTTAATAAAGATAATATGATTCGCTACACGTCATTTGTTATAATTTATATCGTATATAAATATCAGATACAATTTTTAGTTTATCAGCAAATGGTTTAAGGAATTTTGCATATTATAATTCACAAATTTTATTAGAACTGATAAATTAACATTAAGAAATCGCAAATTCTGAAAATATTTAAACTTTTAATACTAGCTAGTATTTGAAAATTCCAAAAATCTCGGAGGTTTCGTTTTAAAATATACTTTTTTTTTTTTTTAAAAAAAAAAAAGATACTGATTAACATAAAAAGCAAATCTTCTCTACAAGTATCGATTTATTAATCATTGTTAAAACGTTTATTTGATATTTTTTTTATATGTAAAATGTTCTTCAATCCAATTAATCCACTCATTTGAATTATTGCCATTTTATGGATTTTGTTATTTAAAATTTTTTTTTTATAGCGAAACGAAATATAATACTATGTAATATATTAAAGCCAGTTCTCGATGCCCCTTTATTACAAGAATTAAATGGTAAAAATCTTCAATATCTTTTGAGTCAAGCTATATCCTTTAATAATATTATTATTTTTAAATAAAATTGATATAGAAAACCATTGCTGAATATCAGTCTTGACTTCTTGACTAGCTTAAGAAACAAGAAATATTAATTAATAAATTTTGAATTAACCAACAAAAACTATTACTAAAAACTTAAACAAATAATTACAATACGTAGGTTCTTTGTTGACTATCAAAGCCTCGCAAAATGATGATTTATGATAAAGCGTTGTTTATTAAAAATTTCGAAAAAAAATGTTTTTTGACTTGTTAGCGTCTAAGAATTGACCATTAAATCTTATTAAAATTTTATTCAGTTGATGCTTCATATGGACAAAGACCTGTGAGAACTTGTGATGGGACTTGGATGGGATTCAAAAGTGTTTGGTACTATTTTATTATTCAAGTATCACAGATTTAAAAGAATAAAAAGTTGAACGTGATCAATATTTATAATTCTAATAGAACATTAACAACTTTGTGACGATGATCGAAATTAGAATCAATACAATTGAAGATAAACCGACCGACGACGCATAGTTTATGATTGGTTTAAGTTTGATCGTTCGATCATATAAAATTTTACTAATCAGTTATTAAATTTGGAAGTGAAGTTTATTAATAGAAAATACAATTGAGAATTACAATGGCAAAAAGATGTTAGATGGACAAATGATTTTGCGTTTGAGAAAATTTGACCATTATCTAAATTTAAAAAATAATCGCAGAAATAAATCATTACAAATTTCTGATTGGAAATTTTTCAAACAATAAGGATTTGGAATTGACAAAGAAGGTTTCTTAAAGAGTGCGAATAGGAGGAATTACGAAGCCGGTGAATAGAAAAAGGTGTTAATATAAAGTAACATTTCCTTATATTTTATAATGATTATTTTTTTAAAATTTGCTATTATCTGCTTAATAAATATATAGGAATATTTGATATTTGATATTTGAAGTTGAAAAAATAGATTTATTTTATTCAAAAAAAGGAATCCACTCGATGTATCATATGTTGCAGAAAGTGATCATTTGTCATGATTTATTTGAATCAAATAAGGATATTCTGAAATCAAAAACAAAAATCAAAAGAAGAAAAGCAATATTTTCCAATACTAAATGGATTTCATTTTACTATAAATAGAAATGACAATAATTATTAGTTTTATTTTTTTGTTATAACTTCTTGTATATCCAAAGGATTGAGAAATAGTCAAACAAATAAAGCATTTGAAACAGGAATAGGTTTCACATTCAACTATTAATAAAATAACAAAGTTTAATTTAATTAATTTTCTTTTATTATAATTTGTTATAAGAAAATCTTATTCAATTGAATTATGTTTACATCTTTGAATTAATTCATTTTTATTATTAAACACTCATTATATCCCTCTGTTTTGCAATTAATGGAATTAAAATTAGTATTACTTGCTCGCAACACATTTAAATTCTTATCACCTGACAACTCAAGATAAATTATTTAGCCTTTTTTTCATCTTCGAATATCTCTACTCGTAAGGGCGAGATTGTTTTTAGTAAAAGTTTTCGATTAGTATGATCAAAAAAAAAAAAAAACTCAAAAATAAATAAAATTAAAAATAATGTTAAATTTTAAAGACAACTAATCAAATAATACTAAACATCATAAATTTCTTATCATTATTTGAGACCCAAAATTTTCGCGAAGATACGCAAAATAATTGTGCGGATGAGTCGTGAGGAACGTCTATAAAAATGTAATATTTACAGCCAATCAAGGTATGATCAATAATTACCTAGTTCATTAAATTTATTTCTAATTTTCTCTTTATTTTGGAAATTAATGATAATGTTAATTTTAATCTTAAAGAACCATTATATTTAAATCCTAATATAACTTTACTTACTATTAACTTCTGTATTTGCTTCTGATTCTTCTACATTACGTTTTCTTGAATTTGTATTATTCGTAGATAAACTAATATATTGGTTGTGCATCAGGTATCGAATTGAAGTTGACGGGATATTAAATATAGAAATATATATTATACGTAATATTTAAAGTTAAATTTAATCCGTTTCAAAACCTTGTAATATCAAATTCATATTCTTTAGAAATATATTCTGAAGAATAGAGTAAAAAAAAATTAATTGAAAATAGTGGTCTTTATTATTGATATTTTATTAAAATTTTGAATATAATAGGTACCTTGATTAATATTTATTGAGTTCATAGATGAACTTATAGATGAAGACCTGGAAATTAAAGAACTCAAGGCTCTACTCGTAAAAACTGCTTTTGGATGCATTACTGAAAATTTAGGACCAAGTATCTTTGAATTCATTAGTTCTTTTCGTTTCATTTCCGCTTGATTAAATTGTTCTTCAATTTCATAATTTTTTTTTCCATGACACCAACTACCAACAGTTTTACGAACTTCTTTTATAGAAGGTCTATTTAAAGGATCAAGAGCCCAACATCTTTTCATTATATTAGCATAACATTCAGGAGTATCTTCTGTAATTTCGGGTCGCTTTCCATTAATAATTTCAATAATAAGTTCGGTATCATGCTCTATATTAGCAAAAGGTTTACAGCCAGTTGTAAATTCCCACATAATCATGCCTATACTATAAACATCAGACGCTTTTGAAAAAGAGGCGCCATTAAATACTTCAGGTGCTATATAAGGTATTACTCCATATATTTCATCATTTGATGACGTATTATCCGCAGG